ACTCTTTGTCCCCTCTTTTTCTCTTACACACTGTTGAAAGCAGAGTTTCTCAAACTCTTCAATCTGGCTCACCGGCGGGACAAGTTTTGAAATGGCACCAGGGATCGATGGCTGATTTTTTAATTGTATGTTGTTGTTTTTTTTGTTTTTTTACCGTTAAATATTCTTATATGGTGGTTGTGTGTAAGGATCACGTGCCCTTCCTACTGGGCGACTGTGTATTCACTCGAAAGACTAGGGGACAAACAAATGTGGTTTATATAACTTATAGGATTCTATTTTCAAAGGAAGATGAATGTGGAGCCTTAATTTTATCGTGTACAACCCAATCCCCTAGACGCGTTGTAATGACACAAACATTTCGTGTTTACACAAATTTATATTAATTACTTTTATCCCTGTGTGCTCTGAGGGGACTGACTATTCACTTTATGTAATTCTTGCAATAATTGTGTGTTATTTCGATTAAAAATTCGTTCAATGCAAACATTTAAAAATAACCAAGTACTAATGGTTCCCAATCATCGTATGTGCTATAAAGTTGATTGTTATGTGGTCGTTGTCTTTTTTTTTTTAAAGGAATTACGTCCCTTTGGTCTGGACACCATGTCAAAAATCAACGTCTGCTGGCTGACAACTTCCCAACTGTGCAACGGTGAGTAAAGGTTCTTCTTCTTATATTTGAGGGGCCCACGATCAATTTGGTGATCATTCTGGCTCCTGGTATAAATTCAGAGTTTGCCTTTACTTAGATGGGTTGCCGTCCAAGATTAACGAGTCCCAACGAGGTTGTGAAATATAGAGTGATATTTGAATCACTTTCTAAAAATATTAATCGATTTCTCGAACATGGCATTCCTGGAGCAACAAATTTTATGTTTTTATTGGCATTGGATGATGCCACTGTACAAATTTTCGATTTGTTTCAGTGCCGGAACCTTCACCAATTTTACACTGAACACCATCCCAGGCAGTTCTCTCTGTGTGCTGCAAGTCTACAACGGAGCAAGCAAAGTAAGGTGAGTCTAATTAGTATACAAGGGAACGAATTCTGGCTGTAAGGGAGTTCTGGCGACGTTCGCGGTCGTGGGATGATGTCAGTGGCTCTATCCTTCATTGGCCAACCGTAACTTAGGGGGACTCTGTTTACAATAATTATATAGGTATGAAGAAGTATCCGGTTAGTATCATGACATTAAGTCTCTTAATTACGACCACTATGTTTATGTGCCTTTAAATTCTTTATTGAATATTTATACATTCTTTGGTTATTATTAACCAGTTTTTCCGACTCGTACATATAACCAGGCTAACTAAAAGACAAGCACAGATGGTGATCGATGGAACACAGTGGGAAGACTCTTACACCCAGGTGTTCGTCCCGTGTGACCAGAAACACGTCTTTGTGTGTATGTTCCAAGTTAAGTTCGCCTTCACTAAAGGTTACATCTATTGTAAGTCATTGCAGTTGCAGCGATTCTGTGTTATTTTTTTCATTAAAAACCAATCATGTTAAATAGTTTTGGACCTAAAGAAAAGATCTTATTTGGGTACATGAAGAACGCTCCTTTCTTTGGAAGGGCTGGGGGGAGCATTATTTCGAAAACATATTGTTATGCTTATTTGGGTAAATTTTATCTTATTTTGTTAGTTGTTTTAATTTGAAAAATGTGTTGCTATAATGTGACGTTTAATGTTATTTATCATTGCTGGAAAGTGCGGGCATTGTGCAATTTTTCCCTTAATCAACAGATAGGGGGGGGGGTGAAAGAAAGAAGTTGGTGGTTTTAGGCTAGAGATTACTGGGGGAAAAAAAGTAAGATTTGCTTTTGGAGCAAGGCTATGGGAGGTTGGAAGAAAGTAAATTAAAGTACGAGAAGAGTAAGAGAATGGGAGATCGTAAAGGTTTAAAGTGTAGGTTGGTAATGGGGGTCGATGGGAAAGTGGGGGAGTTGATTACCGATAAATTTGACCCAACCCCCACCCCCCAAACAAAATGAGGTACATGATCAGAATGAAAAGGGGATATGTTACGTGGAATAAGGAGAGAAATCGTTTGATTAGGAGTGCGAAAAGATGTTTTAGGTAAAGGGTATTTTTAGGAAAGTGTGGTGTTTGGGTTACGATCGAATGGGTAAATGTTAATAGGTTATAAAGTCGCATGGGATAAAAGTAGGGCAAGAGTGAGAGAGTGACGTGACTTTAAGAATGACAAGGGAGGAAAAAAGAAGAAGCCGGTGTAATTTTATTCAGTTTTGCAAAGACTTCTTAATTGAAATACGACCTTTCATCTCATCTCATTTTCTCGATGGTAAGTTGTGACGAACATAACAAAAACAGGTACCCGAAAATCAGGCAATGAACACTACTCCCAAAGACACCGAGTACCTGTTTAACATTGTGCCCCAGCTTGAACTTATTATACATTCTTACATTCCATTGAACTTATATTAGTTAGCCAAGTACGGCTCTGCATTACAGAAGTTAGCACAGCCAAACAGATTCAGCTTGTTAGCAAAGAGCACGCTGGAAAATTAAGGGCGATTAAGTCGGCCTCCTTCAAAAATCTATCTACGTATCTATCTATATATATATGTAATTCGCTAGCAAAGGTCAAACGAGACGGGTCAAACAGCACGCAGGATATTTATAGATACGCCAGAGTGTGGTTCAATAATGAGTTCACTAGCGCGTAAAATATAATTCCCGATAACTACGCTAATGATATATATTTTTTTTTAATAACGCAACTGCGTTTGGTGCGTAATATGTTCTTTTCGGAAATTAACTCGTCTCAATTTCAGTATTTTGTAAAAAATATTCCTTTTAAAAGTGGTTGGGACATGAAAATATTAATATAGTTTGGACAAATGTGTCTTTCACGAAGACTTCACTCATTTATGAGCAATTCTGTGACGTATGCTACGCCGCCGGTCATCTCGTATTAAATAAAATTATAATTGGTACAACAAACATTAAGTAGTTTTGCGTTTAATCCGCAGATCAAGGCAGTACTCCTACGATTCGAATCGACACTTTACCAGTAGATTTTTACACGACTGTTGAAAACGTTACATTTAGTGAAATAGATGCAAGCTGCAAAAGAACACTTCAAGACGGTACACCTTTCAGGTAAAGAGAGTGGAGTGGAATCCTTAACGTCTTCTAGAGAGCAGTAACTAAGTTTGTTCATGTTACCTTGGTTACAATAAAGATTTTGAAACAGCAATAAAGCAGACCTCCCACAAATGCTTCGTGAATCGTCAAAATTTTACTGTTTAAAACAGACGATTTCTTATAAAACAAAGCATGCATATGGCATCCTTCCGTCTTCGCGAGACGATAGAGTAGCTATGTACACTTCAACGAGTGGCTCTCTAGGCCAATACTGGAATGTCAATCTTGACTGCATATCTTGCAGGAGAATATTGATTCCTGGTTAGATTTGGCCGTCCATCTTTTTCTTTTTGTTGAAAGGGCTTCATTTTGTGCATCTTTTGCCTTTTTGACTCCTTCATATTTGGCTGTTCGCCAGCTGGAACGCTGTTCGGTATTGATCTCCCATTAGTTTTTTCAGTGTTGGCTTTCCAAATGCTGCTTTTGCAAACGTCCATAAAACTCAGACGTCGCCGTCCATTAAGTCTTGTCCCTTCTGCCAAATCTTCTTACAGCAGCATCTTTTGGGATACGGCCTTCCTCCATTCTCCTTACAAGGCCTAACCACCGAAGGCGCCTCTGGCTAAGAGCGTAGAGTATGCTAAAAAAATTGTGCACGTTCCAAGACCTCTGTTTTAAGCACCTTCTCCTGCCATCGCACGCGTAAAGTGCAAGGCAGACATCTTTGATGGAAGGAAGCTGTTGAGTTTCCGCTCAAGACTGGTTTATGTGGTGTACATGACACTGCCATATAGGAGCGTCCTAAACTTACAAGCATGATAGACACTTAGTTTTGTTTTATCAGTTAGATTGTGATTTATTTCACACCCGCTTATTCGGTTTAGCCATAGCTGATGCTGCTTTTGTGATCCTGACTTTTATATCTTCACCAATGGAGAGAGAAGCAGAAATAGTTGTCTTCTTTTAAACGAGATTATCATGTGACTAAATAAGTACCCGCAACACTGCCAAAAAGTTTATAATTCATATATTTTCAATTAAAAGGGTGACCACTGACTACGAAAGAAAAATGCTCGTATCATATGGGAACGCGTCCCTCTATCGTGGCTACATCAACGACAGAACAGAACTCTTTTGGGTCGACGCTGGAGAGTACCACGGCTGTAGCGCTGTGGCTGTTGGCTCTTCTAATTTCGTAAGACATTATTCTAAACATTTTAAGATCTGTTCATTTTCACTAATTCTTAATATTACCTAATGTTCTTAGACCTAATTATCTATGGTAAAGATAAACGAAATCTCGGCACCTTTGCTTTGCGGAGACACATTTTTTGTGTGTTCATTTTAACAATCTGTTCTCAGCAAATTACAAGACTGGTAATCATAGTCACATTCAAATTTGTAGCGCATTCTTCATACGCCCTGTATCTTAGTCTCATGAAGAATCTTGGATGAATCCGTGGCAAAATGGTATACAATACACTTCGATAACTTATCTAAAGCGAAATGGGACGTAGACAACCATCACATAACATGGGAGAATAAAGGTTTACCATTCTAACAATTATATTGTCTGATGCTTAGCAATCCGTGACAGATTTAATTGTGGTGACTCATCCTTTGCCTTTCCACAGGTACAACATGAGTACACACCCTTGCCATGCGGCACGCGCCTGAGAGTCTTATGTCAACTGAACAAGTCATATAACGGTAAGTGACGCCATGATAAAACGTTTGCAGAAATTTATTTCAACAATTTACGTCTTCTCTTTTTCTAAGAATTTTTTTGTTTTCATGATTTCCCTTCATTTCTATATATCAGTTTCATTTGTATGCTACCGTTTCCAGACACGACACGCCCGGAATTGAAGATCACAGTCAACATGCCCGGTGTTATCTTGATTGCGAAGGAAATCCAAGCCACTTCAAGACTAGTACGTCAGTTTGGCTTGGCGAACAACGTCTCCATTGAGTGTGTGACTACCATAGGACCAGTAGGCTTGTTTGGATATGTTTATTATTTTTACTTTTAAAATAAGAATCTAATTTTAGTAGCGTTTATAAAAGGCGTCATTGTGGGCGGTGATTATATTTTGTCGGCTCTTTCAGAGACATGCGGATGTGATATATATATATATATATATATATATATAATAATTTCTACAATAATAATACTTGCAACGAAACTGATGGTAGAGAAGATCAAGACCATTTAAACACGTTGTTCTTAGCGTGTCCTTAAGAATATTGAAGTGGTTTTTGGGAGCAATTTCAAAAATAACATATGAACATTACATTTTTTACTTTGGCTTTGTTTTTAATTATTTCTATTTTTTTTTTAAATTTTATAGATCAATTTAATTTCTAGTAGAAGAAAAAAAAACAAATTCTAATCATAAAGTAGAAATTCTGCAAAAATGTACTGCGGGATGGCACCCATAACCTCAAAGTTTAACTACATTCCGTCGTCATATGCCGTCAAGTTCTAATGAAACATTCAATGGAAGCCTTCACTATCGTTTGGCATAGTAAATCGGCGCTGTCCGTAGCTTCATGTTTCTAATCTGCATATATTATTTCGTACGGATCCATTATGAGATATATTCGTTGGCTGGCGGTCCTATACCTGACATTGTTTCTTTTTCCAGAGCCCGTCGGTCCTAAATCGAACATAGATTCCTTGTCTCGTGGCTGGCAGTCAAATAAAAGGACTTGGATTCGTTTTCTTGAGCCTGTCGGTTCTATACGAGACAAAGATTCATTTCCCCGAGGCTGGTGGCCCTATAAATGACTCAGATTCGTTTTGTATAGCCTGGCTGTTCTATACCGCGTATATATTCGTTTCTTGGAGCCTTCGGTCCTTTAAACGACTCAGATTCGTTTTCTAGGGTCTGTCAGTTCTATACAGGACATATATTCGTTTCCACGGGGCTGGCGGTCCGATTCCTTGCCTGAGAAGTGACCTTTGTAGCCTGACTAAACAATATCATCCAACAATCTCAGACGATGCAACTCTTCCTCTACTGCAATTCTTTTTTTCACTTTGATCAGCGTCTCAATACTTCGTCGGAGATAAGATTTAGACAGGAACGTTATATGGATCAACTGTTTGCGGTTGTTCTAGATAAAAATAATCAGCTTCTTTACTGATAGGCTAGTTGTTTTGTAGGCGACCTGTTTCATAAAGGAACCCAGAAATCATTCTGGCATTGGCGTGGATGCTCTGGTTGGAGGAGCTTCAGTGGGAGGTCAACATTCTCAACACTTGATTTGCCTTGACACCCACAATTTCCTTGTCACATTCATCATCTGCTCACTTGGTAGTGAGTCACATTGTTCAATAGGATGTTGTTCACACTGACTGTGCCCTACACTATGTTTACATCTTACAGTAGGATATTGTTCACAGACTGTGTCCTCCACTATGGCATATTTAACTTTTCTGCGTTTAATATTTGTTTAATTTAAATTCAAAATTTCAGTAACCCTTCTCTGTAAAACTCGCTAATTTCAAAATGCAGCCCTCTTTGGGTATTCCTTATTACGTCAAAATATGTTGGATTAATTTTAAGGCATTACCTCCTGGTACCAGTCTGGTATAAGCAGTTATTTAATTGTTCAGCCAGTATTCATCTATTATAAAAATAAACATTTTTTGCACAGCCGATCATTATCTAGTATGACAAGTCATTTCTTAGTACAGCTAGTCATCTTCTGACATAAAAAGTTATTTCTTAGTAGTACAGCCTCTCAATATCTGGTAAAAAAAAAAAAGACATTTTATTTTCACAGCAAGTCCTCGTATGTTTCAACAAGTCAATTTTTTATATTCTCGTTTAATAAGTCATATAATGGTACGGCCAGTATGTCATCTGATATAACAAATCATTTTTTGGTACTCTCAATCTTTTATTACGTTTAACATCAGTCCCATTTAATAAACTTTATGAAATCCTTGTGAAAAGTAATTTAGTATTCAAATTTACGTAAACATTGCTGTTTTTATAAATTTCTTTAAAACAACTAAGGTCACTAGAATGCATTGATTCAGTTTGCATTTAAAAAAAAAAACCGAATGGTTTTGTCCTTGATAAAAACTCTGTTCCCCTCTTCCATGACCAGCTTCAGGCAGTGACTTTTTACAAGAAAGGGATTCCGTTTATGTGTCAGGACGTTAGGCCTCCACTGGGCCACGATTTCGATTTGACAGTACAAGAAGTAAGTAACAAATTATGTCTTAATAAAATGCTCGAGGTGAAGGGGGCACTTGGGTAAATGCCAAATATACATTCATTTATTATTTTATTTTATAGAAACGTCTATTTTTATTTTATACGCAGATGTAAATAATGTATAAAATATTTTACTTTCATTTATATGTGCATATATATATATGTGTGTGTATATGTTTATGTATATATTAAAATTATTTTAATATTATTATATTGCGTTGTATTGAATGATATATTGAGAAATTTCAAGATTAAATACAGACTGGCTTTTCTGTTTCAAAGGTTTACGACATCGATCTCAACCAATACTTTCACTGTGAGGTCAATAATCTAAAAGACGGCTCCACCCAACAGTCAGATTTTGCATTCATACGCCTTACAGGTTAGTCTTCTAGGAATTTATGCGTTTACATAAGGCGTAAAAAAAAAACTTAATGATACATGTACTGCTCGCGAAATTACCAAACGGTGCCACCGAAAACGACCACGAAACTAAATGGTTTCAAATATTAGAACCTGGAATGTTGAGTCTGGAATCGGAAGATCTGACAGTAAACTAAGAACGTTTTGGTCAAGAGCTTTCATGGGCAGACGGGACATAGAAATATACGACAAGAAGTAGAAACTAGTTAAATAGTTTGAGTGTTCTCAATTGTTATTGCCGTGATTACAGTAAGTAAAAGAATATTTGTTTTATTATTGTGTAAAATAAGATCTTAACGCACAAACCTACTTTGGAGATATGTAAAATATATAAGAAATAAAAAAGACATTCATGGAAGTTGAGGATCATTAGTAGGAGAGTATTCGATTAATTCTATATGTTAAACTGGTGTGTTTGTACAGGAAATCAGTACCGTGTTGGATACATCTGTCCCTTTGTATTTATCTCCGTTGAAACTTTCAGAACCTATATTCCAGTGAGCATAATTAAATATTCAGCTGAACAAATTTTTAATTATAGAGTAACTACCGACACATTATTTACAGCACAAAAGTTTAGATTTTAGGTCTCAAGACAGTGAGTGAAAATTTACGTCAATTTCTGTTTTAAAACTCACGTTCACTATTGTGGACAAATTTCAGAACGAAGTAATCAATTTGTTACAAAATTCTGTTGAAGCGAATATTATTAACCGGGCTAATTCAGCCAAATATTTCAGCTATATTTTAGATTTCACACCACATCTGAGTCAAGCTGAACAGCTGTCGTTTACTATGAGATTTTTAGATTTGGAAGATTTATCAATGCAAGAACATTTTATTAGCTGTACGACTTTTAGAGAAACTGCAGGTCAAGAATAATTTAAGAAAATTGATTTTTGTTAAAAGATATCAAATTAGACTGACGCAACTGCAGAGCGCAGGGCTACGACAATGGTTACAGTATGAATGGAACAAAGCAATGAGTGCAGGCACCGATTTTAAAGGAAATTCTACGGAACTTTTAATATGCCCTGTGGATGTCACAGCTTAAATTTAGTGGTTGGGGACGGTGCAACAAGTTGCCTGGAATCCATTATTTTTTTTTTGGTATTGTCCAGTTCCTTTATTTTTTTCTTTTCTGCCTCTCCTGGACAATGAAATATATTGAAAGACGATGATAAGTGGCTAACCGTAAAAATTGTATGCGAAAATAGATGAGAGTGTAAAATTGAATGTATTTAAGCCATTAAATACAAACTTACGGGAACTCGCCATGCTCTTTATTGAAGTTTAAGCAACAGTGATATGAATACATCGGCCTTATATAGCTCGTTAACTATCTTTAAATCCAATGATATTAATCTCGCAAAAAGAGCTGCTACAGCTTCTTTGAAAAAAAATATATATATTTCCGGGGCGTGAACCAATGTTGTTTAAGTTTTGCTCTAAAAACTGTGAATATATATTTTTGTTTTCACTTTGTAAAAAAATAAAGTTCATTGATAGGTGGGTTTAAATTTTTATGAATTCAAAACAATTTTTATTTTTTTTATTTTTGCGCCCAAAAAAATGGAACTCTCTCCCACTACCCATCCGCATAATATACCAACCATCCAAGCCTTCAAAACTCCCCTCAAGACACATCTCTTCAAACTCTACTATCCCGACTGATTCTCACCCAAAATCTGGCGTCCATGGCTTGACACGTAAATAGTTCTAGGGTGGGCCGGGTGAACAGATATGTATATTTTGATTTTTATACAGCTGTTTCTTTTTTTAAATTAAATAAATTTGTGTAGTTGTTTGATGCCATCGTTATGTTTGCTAACATTTGCATGTGCAGTGCGATGAGCAAAGCCCTAGGCTGGGGTGCCACGCTATATAACACAACTGTACTAATAATTATAATAATAATAATTTAAAATGAATTTTTGAAAATTATTTTTTAAAATTCAAGTTCCTAGACATGTGAAAATTAGTAATGCGATTCTTCTTTAGACATAAGAATGTTAAGAAGATAGTGTTTTACTATTTTCCGAGAAACAATAAAAAAAAAAGTTTGTTAAAAGTTTTAAACTAAGATATCAATTTACCAAATATCGTTGACGTTAAATATTCTTAAAATGGTATATAATATTTTTGGGTAAGTTTAAAGGGTACTTGTAGCTCTAGGGTGTGAATAAGGGGGATTTTAGACATATATTATATTGCGGAAAATATTTCTCGAAAGTAAATGATAACATCAATACGTAGATGATTCTTTAAAATTTACAAGGAAAGTGTGATCAACTATTTTCTAAATATAAATTCAATATGTGAAATAATGTCGTATATATAATATATATGGAGTTTTTTTCAGAATTTTACGAAAACATTAATAATTTGGTGTTGGTACCTTGCAACAGCCGGCAATAACTATTTCAAAATATTAACCCGGTAACATCGGGTTGTTTAGTCTAGTATATAAGAAACTTCGGAAGGTCTAGATTTTCTTTAAAACAACTGAAACTTTAATTTTTTCCAAATTTTATATATTATATTATCACTATCAAGAGCGAGGATAAGGTGTGGGCACATAATTATGAAGGTTGCAATATGTTAAATTGTGTGTATTTATTACAAGATACCCCTTTTCTTGTAGCTACTTTTTAATGTATTTTAGTTACCTTATGACCAAGTTATTGCACAAGATATTTCATATAATACGATTGACTTTATCATCAATTCGCTGATCCAGATGTTTGTCTTTTCTTCCCAGATTACGAGATCTATTCCCTGCACATTGACCTGGCGCCCAATGAAAAGGCGGAAAGACTTGCCTTACTCATGCTCGAGGCTTCATTACTAAATAAATGGGCTCCTCAAACCTTTGATGCCAGTGGCAGAAATCTTTCACTTAATTCAACTATAGCCCCACCTGCTATACGCTCTTTATCGAATGGGTCATCACTGGTTGACCTTCAGATCAGCCTGGACAGTGTTGTAAGGTCCTTGCAGGACTGGCGGATAAAACCCATGCTCTTTACGTACGTCCTTTTGTACAAGTGTAGTCTTAGCTTTATTCGTTAGATTGATTTAACATTGCTCGTTATTTTCACCAAACATCGTTTTTTAGCTTCCCTAAACATTGTTTGTTAGATTTACTTAACACTGTTTGGTAGCTTCCCCTAACATTGTTTGTTAGATTTACTTAACACTGTTTGGTAGCTTCCCTTAACATTGTTTGTTAGATTTACTTAACACTGTTTGGTAGCTTCCTCTAACATTGTTTGTTAGATTTACTTAACACTGTTTGGTAGCTTCCCCTAACATTGTTTGTTAGATTTACTTAACACTGTTTGGTAGCTTCCCCTAACATTGTTTGTTAGATTTACTTAACACTGGTAGCTTCCCCTAACATTGTTTGTTAGATTTACTTAACACTGGTAGCTTCCCCTAACATTGTTTGTTAGATTTACTTAACACTGGTAGTTTCCCCTAACATTGTTTGTTAGATTTACTTAACACTGGTAGCTTCCCCTAACATTGTTTGTTAGATTTACTTAACACTGGTAGCTTCCCCTAACATTGTTTGTTAGATTTACTTAACACTGGTAGCTTCCCCTAACATTGTTTGTTAGATTTACTTAACACTGGTAGCTTCCCCTAACATTGTTTGTTAGATTTACTTAACACTGGTAGCTTCCCCTAACATTGTTTGTTAGATTTACTTAACACTGGTAGCTTCCCCTAACATTGTTTGTTAGATTTACTTAACACTGGTAGCTTCCCTTAACATTGTTTGTTAGATTTACTTAACACTGGTAGCTTCCCCTAACATTGTTTGTTTGTGTTATAGTATAATCTATATATTGACTTTTTTTTTTCATTTTATGCTGGAGCTATTTTTAGCCACCACCATCTTTCTCCCCTAGTATGGCCTTGACATTAACGTTGTCGATTCATTTTCCTGTGACACTCCTTTACCCACCCCTCCCTTGATTAGAAAAAAGCTTGTTTAAATTCGATTGCGCTCCATTTGTTCTAAAGAATGCCATCAGATGAGGCAATTTCTAGAATTTCTTTACTAGAACGTTCTGATTACATAACAAATATATAGGCTGACAAATCTCTTAGCAGAAACAAGCATGAGAGCGCGAAAGAGAAATGTTTGCTATATTTCCTAATGTATGCAAGACATTGTATAATTGAGTGTGTAAATTAATGTTTTTAATTTTGAGCAGGGTACAATTTACCCTTGTTCAAACAGCATAACATAATAGATATAAAATTGATATACATTGAGGGCTTTACATTTTTTTTTAACAATGAACCTAAAATATTTGAACTTAAATCAACATATAATACGTTACATCAACTTATATAATCGCAAAACGTGCTTACCACTTCAATCAAATTGGTTCATCTATATTTTGTTTTTATCAATTACAAATGGCAAATCTTTATCTTAAATTCATGAAGGAGAAAATCCGCTCTAGACTTATGTTGTTTTATCTACACGTTTACAATAGGATATCCCCGAATGATGACAGAAAGAGTCTTGTGGCGTATTTTTACCAGAACGTTTCTGAAACACACACCATAGATGATATGAACCAGACAATGTTTGAAATCGCGTCTAAAGACATAACGGAACTTTTCCTAAAGGTATTACTGGAACAATAGTATCAGTGAAACAACGATCTGATGTCGATATTTTAGCAAGTGCGAGTGAATCCTAAGCTGTATCTCTGGAATCCCTGATCCAAAGCCAAACTGTTAACTCGCTACCTCGCCTTTGTGATGTTAATACTACCCGCTTCTGGGGGGATTTTCTTACAATCCTCATCTGGGTTAAGTTGGTATTATCTTCTTCTGGGTGATGTTAGTAACATCCTCTTAGATGTGATATTAATATCATCCGCTCCAGTGTGATGACAATATCATGCTCTTCGGGGGTTGTTAGTACATTTTTTTCTGGG